AGCTCGATGAGATGTATCCAGCCAAATGAAACAAAAAAGAAAAAAAGTTTGCTCCTTTGTGGGTTGCCGACATCTTACCAAGTAACAGTTTTCTTCTGTTTGTCAAGAAACTCGAGAAAAACTTTAGATATATATTTCACTTAATATTTTTAACATATTAGTGGGAAGGAGAAGGGAAAAGCGATTGTTTTTTACCATCATTCAATATCGCAATCGAGAAAGGAGAACCAACAACAATAGTATATAATATACTAGTGTGAACGACAAGTAAACCTAGATCCAGAAACAGTTAGGAAGTCTAACTACATCAGACATTAAGAATCATTCCATATAGTGGTTTAGCTGACAAAGGAGATAGTAGAAAGGTGAATACTTATTTGGAGAAAATGATGACCTTTGATTAAAACGACGACCATTTTGCCGATAATAGAGCTTTAGAGAGCACTTTTGTTAAATTTACAAAATCTCTTTCTGATAGGTTCATTTAATAAGCGTACCAAATATCTGTTAGTTTTAAAATATTCCCTTCTTTATAGCACAAGTAGATGTATCTTTCTGTTTTCGTTCTCTGTGCTATAAAGAGAAGAGTGATTTCGAAAATAAAATAAGGAAACGTTCATGTGCTTTAGTGTCAGATACTATTTCGACTTTCAATCTAAGCAAGTCACTTGTTGACTCACTCAATTGATCTTTACCTATCTGAGTTTCTGTATTTTATAATCAAAGATATGTTTCTATGTCAGAGTGATGATACGATGAATAAACAAATAAAGGATCACTGTACAATATTAGTGTAACCCTATTTCAGTTGACAAGATGTTTTATCATTCAAAATATACTCTATTTTTTCAAAGTTTAGAAGAGCAAGAAGAAGTATATTTGAACAGAATGTGGCAGCAATTTTCACCTGAAACACCTCAATGGCCAACTGTTGAATTGATCGTTATTGGTATTTTGCCTCTTGTGCTCGTTCTCGTTGGTACAATTTGTAACGTGTTATGTATAATTGTGCTATTATCTAGAACTCATCGAGATAATTCCCGTAATCATCAGTCAACATCAACCAATGTTTACTTAATTTGTTTATGTTTCGCTGACACTCTAGGGTTGTACCAATTCAATCTAGATAATGCAATCGCAAATTTAACTGGTAAAAGTATAACGGACCGTTCGTTAGTCGCATGTAAATTAATCGAATTTATTGGTTATTATACTCTACATTTACCAGTTATGTATTTAACAATGGCAACCGTTGATCGTACATTCATGTTATGGTCAGCTGCATACAAACGAAAAATAGCACAACCAAAACAAGCGTGGAAATTATGTATCTTAATAGCTGGTATATTTGCGGTAACAGACTGTTTCTTACTTGCTTTAGGGTATCGGACAGATGATGGTAGTATTCAATGTTATCACTCAACAAATGTCGTATTAACCAAGGCGTTCAATTTATTTATAATATGGTTTCATCTGGTCTTCATGAGTATGGTATCATTTGTTATCATGATAATCTCCACAGTACTAGCAATCATAAAATTAGTTCGCTTACCACGAGTAAATGAAGCATCATTTTCGCGTAATAAGCGAATCTCAGTTATGTTAGGGTTGATGTGTATTGCCTACATTTTATTAACGTTACCAAACCGTCTCTGTTTCACTGTATTAACTCCGTTATTAGAACGCATACCAGGGTCAAATACAATATTCGCATTAGCGGATCTTCTTACGTATTTAGCAAGTTCATTAAATTTTCTCTTTTTATCTATTAGTGTTAACGGATTTTGGCGAGATTTAGGGAATTTATTTATCATCAAAAGATTTCGTTCAAATACAATAGGGACAACCACTGATCGGGGGCAGCGGAACCACTAGGCTGGATAAGGCTTTAGCTCTGTTATGCTGAGCCTTATCCCATTTTGATGTAGAATTTTGCACTCTGTTATTTGGATAAACCTTGGCTACATTGACAGAAAAGCCTTGTCTATCTGAGAAAAAGGCGAAAACCGTTTCGCCTGAACTAAAAAACTCTGCATATTTTTAGTGATCTCAAACATAGAGACTAACATGAAATATGTGCCGTGAGGATAGAGGACTGGATCGGGATAAACGTCAACTTTGGCATCTGGAACGCCAGGAAACGTCGAAATGCACATTGTCTGTTGTTCAGAGATCTAAACTAGTACTTCGAATAAATTTATCATCAATTTGAAAATAACGTTTCTTAACACCTTTATTGTTATAATGATTAAATGCTACAATTTTTCCATTTTTACTTATAGAAATTTTCTCTATCTGAAAATCGAAACAAAAATAGAAGCATAAATTGATAAGCTTTTAGTTGATTTAATAAACCAATATCAGGGATAGGCATGGGACAGTTTCACTTCAGTTTTTGTTGAGCGAGAACTGCTTACCAGCTGTTTCAAGAATTCAAAATAAAATGAAACTGGCGAAACTAGTTACAATTGGATTTATTTAGCGCGCTAAACAAAGTCAATGTATAAGAGCCATTGTCTAAAACAAGCGGACACTGTACAATACGGACAGTGTACAATTGATGTCACCGATCGGATTCAAATTTTTACCATACATAGAACCAATGTAGACTAGCGTATAGCCAACGATGGCGTATAGCCGAATATGACCTTGTTCTTTTCAAGCTGGGATTTGATCCAAAAAATGGCAAAATATGGACCCAATTACTAGTTTTTTCGAAGTTGAATTCTCGTTAGCGAATTAAAATATTCTGAAACCGATGCATATACAGTTGTATAATTGAGAATGGTCAAGAAAAAATTCAAGAGATATTTCTCGGGCGTATCGTTCCTGATTAACAATATGATGCAGTCATTTGGCCAAAAGCCTTTTCTTTTTCGGAAAATACAAGTACGTTGCTTTAGACTTTCGTCGATGCTGCTGTTTGCTGCAAAACTGAGAAAGGTGTGAACGAGGTTTGAAAAGGTTTAAAACTCGACGAATTCAAATAGGCAGTAGTATGACAGGTCGATCGCGGATTGTATGCACTGGCGTTTGAGAATTTTTTAGTTCGGTAATAGCTCCTTTCCATAGTCCATTGTTGGTGATTAAGTGTTACATCTACACAAATAAATCAAACTGGTGACAAACTTGAAATTTAAGAGCAAATGAATGAAACTCTTTAGGGAGTCAATAGTATTATGCAGCATATAAAACTATTTATGTATTTATCCTGCAATCTTTATCAAAAAATATTGAATCGTTCCGAAGAAAGCTCGGCTTTTCACCCAAAATTACTTAAAACCTAGCTCTGTCGATCGAAAACTGACTTTAAACTTCTAGGCAAAAATCATTTTGCACACATTTTAAAAGTTTTCTCTCAGACACCAGGCTTTTTGAGATCTTTTCTGAATTTTTAATACAAGAGCGTCAATCAAATTTTTTTATGCAGTTCGTATGTCTGGCTTGATAAAGCGAAAATTTACTTTCAAATAAAATTTCTCGGCATCCAGTACATTAGAAAATTCATATTTTCTAAATCATGAGGGAAAAAATCGGAACTCATTCGTTGGACAATAAAAATCTTATATATTGACAGCACAAACTGAACCGAACGAAGTGTATGTCGTTGATTTTCATTTTTTAGCGAAAATCTTAGTAATTTTTCTACATAAAAGTCAAAAAAACTCAAAATAGCCTGATAGATTAGCAAAGTACATCACTTGATTCAGTTTCTCACTGACAAAGTAACATAAAAAAATAAAGCGATTCGTACTTTTAAAGCTCGTTTAATGGGGATTCTAATGAAATGAAAGATATTGGCTTCATCTCTTAAGAAAAAAAACAGCTAGGTTTGCAAAACCGTTAAGGAACTTATTACAAGAGGAGTCCAAGACTTCCATACTGGGTAGATCGTTGACCTCAACCTCGATCTCTTATTTGAAAGTAAATTTTCGCTTTATCAAGCCAGACATACGAACTGCATAAAAAAATTTGATTGACGCTCTTGTATTAAAAATTCAGAAAAGATCTCAAAAAGCCTGGTGCCTGAGAAAAAAACTTTTAAAATGTGTGCAAAATGATTTTTGCCTAGAAGTTTAAAGTCAGTTTTCGATCGACAGAGCTCCTTTTGCTCTATCTACCCTGAACGTTTAAAGTAATTTTACATGAAAAGCCGAGCTTTCTTCGGAACGATTGGGTATTTTTTGATAAAGACTGCAGGATAAATAGTCCATACATCTTCCCTGAGAATTTTGTTGAAAAAGTATTGCATGATTTGAGAGAAAAGTGGATTTTTTGTTTTCTCATCAGACTCGACTTCTATAAAGCGACACCTATAACTCAGGAAGGCAACACTTTTAGAGCACTATCTTTGGCTATACACTTGTCTACATTGGTTCTGTATATGGTAAAAATTTGAATCCGATCGGTGACATCAGGTATCTCGGTCTGTCGAACTCTATCAAATAATAGCTCTTAACTAGTTTCGCCGGTTTTATTTGATTTAACTGGTAAGCAGCTCCCGTTCACAAGAACTGAGCTAGTGTCAAGTTCTTTTCACTAGTTTGCAGGAACTTTAGGAACTGGAATTGACGAAGTGGTCACTATTTCAGTTGTAAAACTAAGTCGAGTTTAAAATATAAAATGGGTTAGTAATCGTTTTCTTCAGTAGATTTCCAAGATTTGACTCTTTCGAAGAAGCTGAATAATTCAGTATACGATGTTTTTCTTCATGTAAAAAAGACCGACATAAACTACACGATGGTGCCGTTTCCGAAAGTTTTTTTTGCATCAGTATGTAGAAAAATGTTCGGTCTAGCATCATGTTCAATAGCAAATTTTTTCGACAAAAAACGGTTTTGAAATAGCGAAAATTTAAGACAGTGTCATTTTATCACAAAGTACCGTACGCTGTTTTTCACAGTTGCACAGAAAGAGAAAAGAAAAGTAATTGCACAATCTCAATCATCGACACATTCTTATTGATAAAGTCATCAAACATGGGAATGAAGTTGGCTTTAGTACGTCGGCTACTTCGCTT